AGAAACTGCCAGTAGAAGGTTAAGAAAGCTTTCCAGACAGAAATTGTCCTAAACTCATTCTCAGTTTGACTGTTGAGTAACAGAATGCAATGTTCTCGATGATAAGACAACAGCTGGGCTGGGGGATCTTGGCCTAAGCAGACTTCTTCCCCTTTCTTGCCCGGCCGCCTCCAACTCACCGCCTATAGAGTAGGAGTCTACCATTTGGGCGATTCTGAATGTCATCTGACTTTCCATGCGTAGCTTATCTGTGTGGAAAATTGCTTCCACTGCCCCAGTGAAGTGACCCAGTAAACCTGGGTGTTGGGAGTCGCCATGCGTCAGCACAGTTATCCATCCAGGCACAGGCCGGCCACGTGCCCCATCCAGCTGCCCAGGGCTGTGCTCTGGGAGACTGTGGAGGCACAGAGGCTCTTAAGTAGGCAGAGGCTGCACCTCCTCTGCCCTAAAAAATAGCTTAACCCCCAAGGGCATTTCTGCCTTGGTATTATTATTCATTTTTAAAGATTTATTTATTTGTGCATACAGACCTGGGGTGCAGGCCAGAGGCTCAGGGGTGGTGAGAGGCTTCACCAGAGACAGAGTGGGAAGCAGAACAGGCAGATGGATGAAGTACACTGCTGAGGGGAGCAGCGTGCGGGTCAGGAGAGGTCTGCCGCACCATGTGGTCACCTCTGGGGCAGGCAGGGATCGAACTCTTGGGGAAGTGGCTTTAGCTTCTTAGTGCTGTGCTTTAACCCGCTGCGCCACCAGGGAGGGCCCTCTGCCTTCTTTGGAGTTCTTATATAGATGGTAAATTATCCTTTTTTTTTTTTTTAACCAAAAGAAAAAAACACAATGGGGAAATGAGACCTTCCAGGATAGGACTTCCTTTTCTCTCTTTTTTTCTTAATATGTTTTCATTTCCTCCAGAAGCAATCACGGCAGTAAATCATGCTGTGTGTTTTTCTGGATCATTAGCATCAGCATTATTATTTTATTTCTGGAATATTTTATAAGGCAAGATGCTGAGGGCCAGGATTGATTTACTTGGTAAGCTTGGAAGCTCATTCAATGTTTGATCATTCAATGTTACTTCTCATTTTCAAAAGAATCTATGCAGGAATTCCAGGAATGGTTTTCTAGAATAAAGACAGCAGCAAAAGCTTCATCAGATAGAACCGGTGACAGCAAAGTTCTAGAAGCAAAGCTCCAGGACCTTCAGGTATGAAGCTGGCAGTATTTTTCTTCTCCAAATGCCTCTGGGCCAAGCCTAATCACCACTTTTCCCATATTCTGTTTTACTTCATTTTCTCTTCTCCCCTGATAGAATTAGATTTCTTGCCCTAATGAGATAAGACAATATGAGCAGAAAATGGAAAATAATTTCAATTTACAGAATCTCTAGATACCATTGCTCTTTCTTGGCTTTATAATCCATTCATAGTTAAACCAGTCTTCTTTTTTTATATCAGTAGGGGTATTAATAATTGTACTTACTTAATATCACTGACTGATTTTTTAAAAAGCATGGATTTTTTTTTTAAACTTATGGTCTAAATTGGGAGTGAGGATAAAGTCAAATTAAAGCAAGAAATTACAGCTTTTGGAGTTTTACTGACTATGAAAATGTTATGAATTCTAGAAGGAAAAGGCCATTATAAAACAGAAATAGGAAATGATTGACAAGTTAATACAATGTATAAAAGCAACAATCAACAGACTCAGTTCTACCTGGATTTTGGCCAAGTTTTTCAGATGAGTCATCTGAACAAAGCTCTGTGTTAATGATTTTGGAAATAATATTAAAAACTTAATGAGAAACATGAGGATCCTGTGGCCCGAAGGGTGAGGACCGCTATGTAGATTAGTCACTAGAGATCAGGGAGAAAGATCACTTTCATAAAGGGAGAGTGGGTTTGCAGGAGGCACAGTGAGTTCAGATGTGGAACTGCTTCCTTTTAAGCTTGAGATGCAGTGAAATCCTACAAAAAAATGTCTTAGCGACAATTACAATCTATTATGGAGTATAAGAGAGGGCGGGGCTGGCTCAGGGGGCTTGGGGTTCTGGGGTTCTGTTGAAGCCAGGCCTGTGCATGTGATCTCCTCGGAAAGATGTGCATATGGGAACTAGCAGGGACCTGGCACAGGGCAGTGTGCAGGGTGGGTAGGGAGAGGAGGGGACGCCTGGCCAGGTGCCACGCTAGCCCTGGGAGGGGCGGGAGCTGACCCAGGCTGGACAGTGCACATGGAAGGAACAAAACCTTGATGGAACAATCCCCCTTTCTAGCTCAGCCTGGCTTCCAGTTTGTTCTCGATGATTCCATTGATCCCCTGGCACATCTTGCTTTTGAGCCTTGATGATATCCAATTATCTACATCATCCTCGTTCCAGTCTTGATAAAGGCTTCCTTCAGGGAGAGATTTGTTTTTCTTCTCTTGTTTTACTATTTCAACTCAAGGTCTGTGAATAATAGCAAATATGTTATGTGACCTTTATTTCCACAAACAGAATATTCTGGACTCAGTCAGTGAGGGACAGAGCAAGCTCGATGCTGTGACTCAAGAAGGACAAACTTTGTATGCACATTTGTCTAAGCAAATTGTCAATAGCATCCAGGAACAAATTACAAAAGCTAATGAAGAATTTCAAGCGTTTCTTAAGCAATGCCTTAAAGATAAACAGGCGCTTCATGACTGTGCCCTAGAACTTGGGAGGTAGGTGGTTTTAATAAGTGCAGATTGCATCACACACTGAATATCTTGTAAGACAGAACACCACCACTGCAAATTAATAAATAACATTTGAAGCTGTGAGCTTAAATGATGAGTTTGACCTTAAGTACAGGTTCATACTTTTGTTAGGTTTGGGGGGTTCCTGGATTTGGGGGTTCATTGGTCCTTGACTGTGGTGTGAGAAGAATTCATAGCTACATCTGTAGTAGGAGCAAAACAATTTATTTAAAAATAGAGGGAAATGACACCCACAAAGAGGTCTGGGCTGGCAGAGTCCAGGTGAGAACAACTGTGAGGGATTTGCAGGGGTTCCTCCATTAATGGGGTGCAGGACTATTCATTCCACCTGAGCCTGGGGTCTTCTGTGCAGGCATTGCAGGGTGTTGGTTTAGGGGTCCACGCAGCAGTTTCTGTGCCCAGCCAGGCACGACAGGGCAGAGCCTGAGTTACCTTGGCATCAAGCAGCCCCACCCTCCTCTCGGGAGGGAGAGTGTTTGAGGTTACTTGAGATATTGCTTGTCCTGGTTAGGGGAATTGCCTTATTGTCCAGACACTGGCCAAATTCAAGGAATTCTTCCCTTCTGGGCAATTCTTGATCTCATTGAGGTTTATCAGTAGGCCTGTAGGTTGGGGTGGGGATGCCTCCCTCCGGGGGCTGATCAGCTGTGGCTAGCGTTTTCCAGGAGGCCATTTAGTTTGATTTTCTTTAGGCATCACCTTCCTTTTCCTAAATAACCCCTGAAGGATCTGGGGACCAAATCTTTGGAGGGCAATTGAGGGGCCAGGTCAAATTCTTCATAACTGCTTTAGGCTGAGGAAGGGCATAGCCCTTTCCTGGCAGCCTCAGACCCCCCAGTTTCCCAAGTCTGGGGAGGAGGCCCGTTTCCCAGAGGGGAGTAGCCACCCTTATCCAGGTGAGGGAGAGGTTGATCATCCCTAGCAACCAGGGTGGATGACATCTGGTTGAGCCAGACCAGTGATGGGGTGATGTTTAGGCAGCTAGGGTCAGGCTGATGGTTAGTAGGGAGCCCAGTGAGGGGGGTTCCACCTTTGGCCAGGAGTTTTGCCAAAGCTCAGGACTGTTTTAATTTAGAGGCCACTCTCACCACTGAAGGTCACTGCTCTGCTTACAAAATACATGACAACTGATGGGCTTATGGTTTTCTGACACATTTAAAGTTATCCGCTCCTCACTGTCATAGTCCTTGTGACCCGAGATGATAAAACGCATTTACTAGAATGAGCACATGAACACTGCCCTGAGGTGCTTTCTGTTCTTTAGCTTTGAGGATCAGCACAGAAAACTGAACTTATGGATCCATGAAATGGGTGAAAGGTTAACTACAGAAAACTTAGGAGAAAGTAAACAGCACATTCCTGAGAAGAAAAATGAAGTCCACAAAGTGGAAATGTTTCTGGGAGAGCTCCTGGCCGCAAGGTACGTGGGCTGGTCGGCTGGTTGGGTGGGTGGTTTGGTGGGTGATGGGTTACATGACGAGTGGTGGTGGGAACAGGTTCATTGTTCTGAACGTCCAGGACACAGGTGACGGTGAAGGCTTCCCATGGCAGGTGGCATTTCTAAGAGAGCACAGGGATAGAGCAAGGAGCTCATCTGCACCCCAGTTTCACCTCCATTTGCTCAAAGAATAGGGCAGGTCACTCACTGCTATTGTCTTGACATTAGTCTTGACATTAGCCTTTAAAGATATTTTTAGTATATTTATTACATCATCCTTCATTTTGTGCAATGCATGATTTCTCTGTGAGATTCCCACCACCATTTCACCACGCACCATCACAATAGTGCTCTTTCCACCCCTGTCCTGGTCCTTCTCCCTCCTCCTTTCCTCCAGAATGTCTCTGATCTGTAGTTGCCTAATACTGACTTTTACATTATTATAGTTACTTCATTTTTTTTTTGATCTCTCATGTGGTTCTTACATTCATCCTAGCAGTGATGAACTATTCAATAGTTTTCTTTTTCTTTCTGGCTTATTTCACAGAGCACAATCCCTTCCGCCTCCACCCTTGTTGTTGCAAAGAACATGAGTTTATCCTTTTCATTGCTGAGTAGTATTCCATATTTTTAATACTGAACTTTCCTCATAGAGGTCATCATAAAGACCTAATAAGATAATATGTAGCTGGTAGGAATAGAATACCGCAGGTGCATAGTGATTATGCAAAGCAATACTTTTCATTTACATAATTATGCTGTAGACCCAGATTTCCACATATTCTTCCTTCATTTCATCTTCGGTCCACTTGCAGTCCACCTCGTCCTCATCATATGCTTCTTTGAGCAAAAGTTCTGGTCGTCCAGCCTGACTGCACTGAAGTTCCTCTTTTTCTTATGCAACATTTGTCTTTCTTTGTTTCTTGACTGAGCAGAGTTTTCCACTCATTCCTCAGGTTACCTTTTCTAGTCCATACTTTTGAGCCCACTACCCTCAGAGCTCCCTGAATTCCTGCCCCACTTTAGAATCTTCAGCTTATTCCACTGGAAGTTAGAACATTTCTCTTCAGAAACTGCAGCTCACCCAAAACTGTAACTATTCTCTTACAGAGCAGAGCTCACCTGGGAAGCCCCAGAGGTGACCTGTAGGATCAAAAGTCAGTGAAACTTGCTGAATTCAGATCCAACTCATTCCATTTCTGCTGAGTCCTCTTAGTTAAATATGCATAGTGTTCCTGGTCTTGGAAAGCAAACAAGCAAATCAGTGCACCAAATAAATTTAGGCTGACTGTGGGCTGCTGTGCTCGCTTGGTGAGGAGTAGAAAAGTTCCTGGAATCCTCTGGTCTCATCTCTGTGAGCCCTTATCTTGAGGCAAAGTCTCTGTTGATTCTATACACGCCACCAAGCACGAGTCCCCCAAAATAAGGGACTTTGGGGTCTCTGTCATCTTTATAGTCTCATGGCCTAGACTAGTCCAAAAAATAGAAAATATTCTCCAATTGAATAGCATCATTCTAACTATATAATTTACTTTGCTTTTGATTTTTTAAAATACATTTTAAAGAGACAGGTTTTTTTTTTAATTATTTATTTACTCATACAGAACTGGGGTACAGGCCAGAGATGCGATGGGTGAGAGGATTCACCAGAGACAGAGTGGGGAGCAGAACAGGCAGATGGATGAAGTACACTGCTGAGGGGAG